TAATGGAACGCACTGCTGAGCATGTCTACCCGGGGCATCCACACGAAGTTTGCAGTATCGACAGCTATCTCCTTTGTGGAAGAAGACCTTGAATTGATTGAGTCTTGGTTGGAGAGTTTTCTCCAGCTTGGCCATCACCTCAGGATGCTGCTTGTTTAAATGCTGTTTGGCTCCTTTCTGGCCTACGAGGACCTGACCACAGAGTGCGCAGTGTTCCATCAGGTAATCATGGAATGCCGGATTTCGAGCGGCGCCTTCTGGATTGTCCTGGGCATCAGACTGTAGACTTTCTAGATCCGGTTCTGTGCTTCTAAGGGTAGCTCTTCCTACTGTCTAAGCAAAAGCTCTACCCTAGGGCAGGTAGATGCTTCGACATGTTTGCGCAGATAAAACACTGTTCGGAATGTTGCTCGACAGGCGATGCAAGTTGCTGACCCTGGCATTGAATGCAAAATAGGATCAAATTTGGGTCCTTTCAGGCACTGCTGAGAATCTGGGTGAGCCTTCTGCAGGTGGCGACGGAGTGCTCCGGTGCCAGAGAGACATGCTCCACATTCACCGCAGGTCAGAAGCCTATCCTCCACATGGTGCGAGGAGAAGTCCGTGGAGAGGCCTTCCAATGCCTGGCTAACTGCCTCAGCACGCAACTTATAGTGTGGGAGAAGCTGGGGATCGGAGTGTTGCTGTCTCTTTATAAACTGGGTCATTCTCTTTTGCAGCTGCTCCTTCACGTGAGGAATCCGTAATCTCCGGAGTAACTCCTGGTTTGATTCCTTCGTTTCCTGGGAGTAACTCCGCAGGACGAATCTGAGTTGGTACATCATGTGTGAATGGAGCTTTTGCAATCCCTGCTGTGTCATCCCCACCACGTGGAGTGCATACAGAGCAGAGGCCCACGCAGTTATTGTCCAAATCGACAGACGACGTCTGTCTGATAAGACTCGGTGGTTCCGAACTGCATGGGCTACTTCTGACATTGCAAGCTTGCTGGATGACAGCCGATGTTTGAGAGTCTTCATTTCATAGTCGTGATAAGAAAGAATGACCCCCAAGTATGGGACCTGATAGCGCAGCGATATCAGCCTGCCCGAAGGGAGTTCAACATACTTCTCTCCCTCGACCTGGCGAGAGAGTTTCTTCCTAATGGTCGAGGCTGAGCCCCCTTGCAGCTGTAGCAGAATTGCTGACTTGGACGGATTGACCTTGAACCCAAGCTCTACCAGCTGATCCAGAAGCAGGTCGCAGTACCCTAGTGCTGTCATGAGGCCGGCCTCAGAGTCGAAATGCGACTGGATCAAGCCATCATCTGCGTACATTGTGAGGAGCTTCACTAGTTCTGCTGGGCTGATTTTCCCAGAGAGCTTCCTAAAGAGAAGCCCTGATGCAAAGGCGAATAAAGAGGGTGCTAGCTTACATCCCTGCTTGATTCCCCTGCATGTGGCTATCTCAAAGCTCTGATCGCTGGCTGTCATCTTATACAAGGCTTTGATGTGGAGATGGCCTACCACCTCTATCAGAAGAGGATCTGCTTGTTCGGCTTCCAGGGCCTCTCTTAATCGCAGCCTGTTTACAGTGTCAAAAGCTTTGCTCATGTCCACGCTCATGGTGAGACTGCCTCTGAGCTTGAGCCCCTGTTGTCCCTTACCTCCAGCCCTAGTCATGTGTGAGGGCCTTGCAGATAGCCTCCTCTGTGCCCCTGCCTGGGACAAAGCCGAACTGAGAGACGCCGGTCATTGCTAGCTGGAGGGTAGACTTGAGTCTCTTCCTCACGAGTCCGGCTAGGACCTTACCCTCAGGTGCTATCACCCCGATCGGACGGAGTGAGGTTGGTTTGTCTGGCTTCTTGGGAGGCTTTGGGAGCCAGGAGATCTGTGACGAGGTGACACTGTCCGAGAGCCTTCCTGCAGTGACTTCCCTATTAAGGGTGTCCGAGATTAGCCGGATTGCTTGGGGACCTAGGGAGCGCCAGGCTACTACGGGAGGACTCTCTTTAGGAACCGCCTTGCCCAGCTTTATTGTGCCAAGCTGTTCTTGCACTTCTTGCTCAGTGATGTGCAGGCTGCCTTGTATCCCTGAAAGCGGGAAGTCATCCCCTGCTCCAAACAGGTCTAGGGAATATTCCTCTAATTGTCTTCTTTCTTCCTTGGCAGTAAGGAAGCGACCCTCAGAATCACGAAGCTGAACTCTTTCCTGGGGCCTCCCCGACCTGAAGCGCTTGATTACCTTGTAAAGGGAATGACTCCCGTCCTGCTTGGACTTAAGCTCTGCCTGCTGGAGTTGTTCATCTATTTCCTGCAGCCGCCGCTCCTGCTTGTGACGCTTTGCTACCCTCGCCTGTGCACTTTGCTGGGAGAACGAGCACCAGCATCGGAACACCATACGGACCTGCAGTTCGGGCAAGAACTCTGCTAAGACCTTGACTGCTAGTGGGAGTGAGCGCAACACAGAGCGCTCTTCCCAGATGCTGAGATCTGATCTTTGTGCTGCTTCCTTTCTCTTGGGAAAGTGAGTCGCTAGGGCTGAGTTCATTGCTTGATGGAGACTCTGCCAGGTTTGGGGATGATCCTGAAGGAGGGAGTCTACCTCCCTGGCAAATGCCTGTATTTTCGGGGAACGGTGTCTGTAGCAGTCCTCCATTGCCTGCTGGTCATAGGGTTTTGAGGCTTGGGCGGAGTATCTCCTGCTGTGCCTCAGTTTACCAAGAAGGGGGAAATGCCTACTACCATCCCTCCAGGATGCAACTGGGAAGGTCCTTAGTGGCCGGCAAAACCTGGCGGGGCCTTGGGACTGTGCAATCCTGACAAACGAGAAGTCAATCTGTGAAACAGAGTTGCCTTGTTCGTGGGTGGCTGGTCTATGCACTCCCCAAGTGTTGGTTGCGACTAGCTGGTGCTCCGACAGTAGGGTCTGGAGATCCTTAGATCCGCGATGCCCGAGTCTGCAAGCCTGGATCGTGCATGGCCCTACGTGTTTGTTGTCGGTTTTGAGCGAGGAGTTAAAATCTCCTAGCACAAGGAGAGTGTTGCGATTGGGAACAGCTCGGATGGACTTACTTAGGGCGTGAAGGGTCTGCTTCCGGGTTTCCTTATTCTGAGCGACTGTCTCCTTAGAGCGCCAAACGTATTGATAGCAGCTGAAGACGTCCAGTGAGATGCCGTTGCTCGGCACCCGGACCTGGAGAACTCTTCCTGGAACAACCTCGTTGTAGCGAAGATCCTGTGACTTGCACAGCGTGGAGTGCACCATTATGAGGACCCCGGCTCCCTTCTCCCCTGTGGAACCAGAGCTGATCACGTGCCAGCCTGACTTGCTGAATTGCCAAGAGCCCCTCCAGTGTGTTTCCTGAATTGCTACCAGCTTCACATCCTGAAATGCGGCACTTTGCAGTACGGAGAGTAACTCTTCCCAAACTGCTGTTGTGAGAGATCCTGCATTCCAGGATAGATAGCTGAGATTCTTATCTTCTGTAAATTTCGAAGGCCGAGTCCTTCTGCCGGGATTGGTGGGCTTTACATGTGCCGGAGCAACTCCAAGCTCTGTTGACGACATCGTCTTTCCCTTGTAGACCGCACTACCTTCAAGCAGAGCTTTACGTGCTGCCCTTTGATAAGAGCGTTTACCCTTCCCTTTAGGAACGGGCTGATGCTTGGTCGAACCACTAGGCTGTTTCGCAGCACTCATGTTGAGTACGGCTCCTGTCGGCTTCGCAATACCGACAACCCTCACCTCTGGGAGATGTTAGAGAGCTGTAAATCTAATACTCCCTCCCGGACTTGGGACCGGGACTGCTCAGGCTGACAAATGCCATGGCAAGAAAGGAAAAAAGGCAACTGTACTAGCCTGACCTTTCCTGAACCGAGAGGCTTACCAACAACAACAACAACAACACCAACAGCAACAGCAACAGCAACAGCAACAACAACAACAGTAACAGCAGCAACAACAACAGCAGCAACAGCAACAGCAACAGCAACAGCGACAGCAACAGCAACAGCAACAGCAACAGCAACAGCAACAGCAACAGCAACAGCAACAGCAACAGCACCAGCACCAGCAGCAGCAGCAGCAGCAACAGCAGCAGCAGCAACAGCAGCAGCAGCAACAGCAGCAGCAACAGCAGCAGCAAGAGCAACAGCAACAGCAGCAGCAAGAGCAACAGCAACAGCAACAGCAGCAGCAGCAGCAGCAACAGCAACAGCAACAGCAACAGCAGCTGCAACTGCTACAGCTACAGCTACAGGTACACCTGCAGCTACAGTTACACTTGCGGTTACACTTGCAGCAACAGCAACAGCAACAACAATAACAACACTCATTCTCCAGAGCCACTAATGGTCTCTCATTCCGCCAGATGACTTCCAACTGCATACAAGATCTACAATGTACTCTCCCCAGCTGCATACATTGCACGCTAGAGGTACACCGTGTCGAACAAGTCATCGTTTACAGAGACGCCTAGCTTTCTCGCCGCAGTTTGTACCTTTGGCTCGGGTTTGTTTTCGACTTGTGCTTTGCGAAACGTCTCTTTCAGGACCGGCGGCTCCTCCGCAGCCTTCCACTCTAAAGCATGGCAGCTGCTGCTCGAGGATCCTTCAAGCGTACGTCTCAAACGGGCTTGGGAAATGCCGCCAGACGCATGCGTGGTGAGTCTGCTGACATCCTCTTGAAGAACTGTCGCGTCGTCATAGGTGATGCAGAATTTGAGGACCGCGATCCGCAGTTGGACGACGACAACGACGATTTCATGGGCGAAGGAGAAGACGTTCGCACTTGGTATGCTTGGCTTTATGTGCCGTATTCGAAGTGTTGGCCCTCATTGCAGCAGGCGAAAAAGTTCTGCCCTGATCTTACAGGAGTACACGAGTGGCGAGGTGGAACTCGGAAAGATGACGGTGAACGTGATTCCGGACCACTTGATTGAGTACGGTAGAAGAAGCAAGGATTGGTATGTCGTTTTTGAATTTTGAAACATAGACGCTGTGTCTCAATCTCTATACGACATGATGAATGCCTGCACGAACATCGAGAGTGGATGCAAGGACGATGCCGGAAACAAACTTCCGATTTTCAAGTCCTACCCGGCCAAGAAGGGCAAGTGCGGCATCATGTTCGTTGACCGTATCGAGATCCACGACTCTCGTTTTTTTGGCCACGGGTTGGGACCTTTCTTGCTCAATACTGGGCTGAAGTACATCGACGAGGAGTTCATGAATGAGACGGGACCAGTGTACCTGAAGCCGTTTCCGCTGTTGTGGGAAAAGATGGAAGGCGATGCACCTCCGGCGCCGGACGATGCATTCAAGAGGAAAACTCTGTCTGAGGCGCAGAATCAAGAAATGCATCGGGACATCTTGAAATTGATCGGGTGGTGGAAAAAACTAGGCTTCAAGGAAGTGAATGGCTCGAAAGGGGGCGGTTTCGACAAGTACGACTACGGCGACATGGTCCGCGGCGTCAGTCCGTAAGCGGACGCGCCTTCCGTGTTCTTCGGTCAACGAGCGAGGAAAAGAAGCTTTCACTCTTTGTTAAAGGTTGGGGGCGGGCGTAGCAAAGATCGCATCTGATCGGGTTTGATGTGAGTTTACTGGATTGATTACTGGTTGAATTGCTGGTCGCGGTTGCGGTGCTACTTGTTTGGACCCAATAGTCGTATCTGAGGCAAGACTTGAGCGTGCTGTCATGTCAGGAGTCGTTGAAGACCGCCATGGAAATGTTTACAAACATTTGCTTGCAATCGGCGCCGCACCCTCGGAAGAAGGTCGTGGCACCGCTTGTCCATGGTTCGTGGAGTGCAGTGAACCTAGGTCCAAGACCACTCTGCCGTGTGATCCTCGGTCTTTCTCAACATCAAAGCCGATGTTTTCCAAAGCGGTCTCGCAGCCTGGGCTCAAAATATGCGAGCAGCAGGTTGGGGTCAAGTTAGGAGCGAGACATCGATTGAAGGAGCGCTCATGCCAAGGCCTCGAGATGATGCAAAGAGAGAACGGACGCGGTTGTGGCTGCCCCAAGGTGAAGGGCATCGGGAGCTCAGGGCGCCCCGATGATTTGGCTTCTGCTGAGCCTCTTGTTGCAGGCACCTCTGAGATACTCATGATCACTGCCCTCAGTCCCGCAGTTGATATGATTTGAGGCTGCCTCCGGCCACCAGCCATCTCAGGCCGTACGCTGGAGTGTCGAGAAGCAGTGGATTCTTCTGCTCTGGAGGTGCCGAAACTGAGAAGGGCCAATGGTATCCCGGCCCCCAAAGTCAAGTTGTCCTGAAGGAAGACAGAGAGAGAGAGAGAGAGACACCTGGAGACCGGTGCGCGCACGCGCGCGGGGGCTGCAGTCGCAGTCCCTTGTCCGAGTGCAAGCAAGAGAGAGACACCGAGAGAGATGGAGAGAGCAATTGATTTCTCCTGCATCATGTGATTTACCAGATCTGCTACGCCCTGTTGCTGCATCTTTCTGATGATCCGGAGCTAGCACAACCAAGCCGTCAGCTAGCTTTGTACTAAGTTTGCTTCCGCAGCAGCCCCAGTTGCGCGTGGGTGAGAGTGGTAGCAATAGTAGACATTCTTCCTTACTGCATGCAAGAGCCTTAGGACGCCTTAGGAGCTTGTCTTAGAGGGCGCCATGGGAGGACCAACATTGACGATCCCAGTGCCTCCCAAACCTTTGCTTGTCACCACGAACTTCCTGAAAGTATGGGTTAACCCCCAGAACCGCCTAGTAACATGACCCTTGCTGTACTGTGCCTCTGCATGTTGTGTTGGTTGATCGTCTTCCCGTTCGCTGTTGCTGCCCTTGTCATGACAGGTCATTGATTTTAAGTTACATGCCTATTGCCTATTGTACGGGGGAATGCGCTGTAAGCTCGATCCTTTGTTTGTGACCGCGAACTTCCTGGAAGGGGGATTTAGCCCCGTAACAATATATATCATGACCTTTGAACGTACTGCGTCGCTGGAAGTCGTGCTGGTTATTCGTCTTCTCCCTTCGCTGTTGTTGCCCTTGTCAAGACAGGTCATCCATTCTAGTAATAAGACACATGCCTCTTGTACGCGGACTTGAAACAAGCTCCATCCGAATCTTCAATGCCACGCGGATCGGAGAACAATCCGCTATGTGCTTTCTCCTCTTGTCTTGTTGGCTCTGTCTCCGAGTCCAGATGCCGAGGGAAGCCAACGTCCTTGTGTGCTCCCAGAGCCGTGGTCTGCATGCAACTTTGTGGCAGGGACCCCAAAGCCTCTACTCTCTGAGCCTAAAGGGGGTGGGGGGCGCCTTGGCGCGGGTCCAGCTAGCCTGGACCTTGACCCGCAGCAAGCAAGCAAGCAAGTGAGAGAAAGAGTGAGTGAGTGAGTGAGTGAGTGAGTTTCTAACTTCCTCTCAGCATAGCATTGACGTCAGACTCTCAGCGACGAGGATGCATGCTTTCCGGGGTCGTCCAGCATCCCAGGCACCGTCACGTTCAACAGCTGGGTGATGCTCGACCCGGCATCGAGCCAAGCCTTCGAGCGCACCCAGAACTTACGCGTCCACGAGTTTCTGCCTAGCTATGCCGCCTGGCAGCAGACTTGCTGATGTGAGAGCTCTTATGTTCGAACCGCCACCACATGACCTTCGCAGTCTCAAGCTCGGGTGCCTGTTGTCTGGCCTACCGTCAGGTTAGAATGTACAAGGCTGGCAAAGCGCAGGACATCTTGTAATGCCGTTGATGATGCGGATTGATTGTCCATGCAGCAGCATGCTGCGTGCTACCATAAGTTTTCTGGTCGTAGCTGCAGGAGCTCATGCCCGACCCTTTCGTCGATGCACCTTCTTTGGAAGGCATCCGTTGCACTGCTGATGGGCTTTACCGTCGAGCTCTCTTTGTTCACTCAGGTTTGCCCTCGAAAGAAGGCACGGGCTTGCCGGTGTGACAGACAGCAAATTCACCGTGTCTCATGGCCTTGTCCGCTGAGGACAGGTTCACGATGCCAGAGCTCTGGCAGAGCTGCAGCTCCGAGGCCGATCCTGTTCAGAACACGGAAGCAGTTTACAGCAATCAGAAAAACGACGGCTTGCAGTTTGTAGCGCATTTCCTTACTTTCCCCAAGAAGTGTTGCTTACACGTCGCCGTGTCACTGTTTGTGTGTGTGTGTGTGTGTCTGCGCCTTGCTGACCCGCACCGAGGCGCTCCTGCTGCAGAGGGGGATGCCGTTCAGTTGCCCTGTCGGTTCGAGGACAGGGATGTACTGATAGTGTGGAGCACTGGAGCAACTCCTAGTGCATGGCTACATTTGTCTCGCCATTCGCCGTAACCAACCTGGGGTCAGTGGATCACCTGGCGGGAGGCATTCTTAGATGTCAGAACCAGTATGCAAGACTTCAAGACGAGAAGCGCTGCTAACTCGTGGAGCCGGAATCTGGCTGTCTCAATGTAGAGAGAAGAGCCGATGAGCAATGGTCAACAAGAAAAGCGGACAAAACTCAAATTAAATGCTCGTCGCTGGACTCACCTTGGCAAAGCTTCCCGGCCAGGCGTCATGGAGACCTCACCGGCAGCAGCAACATACTGCGCGAAACTGTAAGCAAGCAATGAAAGCCCTGCTATGCAGCTGGGATGCTTCTTAATGTGCAAAGCTGTGATCGAGGAGGACCACGACTACATTGGCGTTGATGCATTGACTGTCCCACACAGTCTGGGTCTCAGAACCTGCCTTCGAACATGGTTATGCCGTCCTAAAGAAAGCTCCTTGGTACATTGTGTGGCATGGCCACGTACTCCATGTGAAGGCAACAAAGAGGATTGCTGCCGTGCATGCCGTCATCTAAACCGGCGGAAAGCTGGAAACTGTGTCGTGGCAGTGCTCAGTTCCGGACCAAGCTGGGCCAGATCAAACGCAGGTTTGCATCAGAACTTTCGTTGTGAGCTTTCAGCAATCTTTCCTAGGTGGGCCTTTGGATGATCCTCCCCATCAATGCTGGTTCGTGCCTTAGGTCTTAGGTGTGTTGTCTTCTGGAATTCATTGCATGCGCCGGGTCTGACTTGCAGTGGTTGCATGCCAAGGATCAAAACAAAGATCCTTTCTGCAAAAGTTGTGAAAGGCGTCGTGGCTTGCAACTTGGCGCACGAATTGCGAAGACAACAGCTAATTCTGGATTGGGTTTGAATGCTTTATGTCGGCTGTCATGAAGCAGATCCTACTAGCCTTGGCTCGGGCATGCTCTTGTCTTTGGCCTTTGTCAGTGCTTGGTGGGGGTAGGTCAGAACCATTCGCGATATCAGATTTAGCTGGACAAATCCTTGAAGCTCCATCAGTAGTATTCTCCGTTTATCGAACAACATCCTTGGTTTTCTCTCGCGTGCCCACTGACTTGCAGCGAGTGCTGCAAGCTCTGCCATATGATCAGCGGTTTTGAACATCTAGGACCTTATAGCCGCGTCATTGGCCTGAGTTGGCAACACGCGAGATGCAAGTATAAGGCAAGCTGTCAGCAGCTGAGGCGTTCCAGTTTGAGTCGAGAAGGACATCGCTCTGTGCGTGCGGTCTTTCCTGTGAAATGGGTCCGTGAGCTGTTTGCGTTTCCAGACCCAGTGGCCAAAGAGCCCAAGTCGGCAGGAAAAGTCATCGTCACTTCGCGATGCGTGCAACAGAGAGAAGGCATTCGGTCACACGATGTCGGTGCCGTGCGAAGGAAGGGCATCACACTGTTCTTGGTCGCCAACAAGCAACTCTGGTTGCAGGAAGATTTCTAGCAGCAGAGGTTAATGGCGTCGAATCGCGTCGAGATGTCCGCACGGGCCACGTCCAAGGATTGACAAAGACCCTCTGGGGGACCGATCTTTGCCGTGCGAACATGTACTGCCATGGTGCTTCTCGGCTTGCCTTGAATCTCTTCGAAGGAGCAAACGAAGCGCAACCTCGGGGCAGCCCGAGCATTCTCTGAGCTGAAAGAGCTTCGGCCTGAGCCGAAAGTGTACTTGGCGTGCTTGTACCTTGCAGTACTGGTGCGGTGCTCGTAGCTGGGGTGGCTGGTGTCTGCAGTCTGCATGGACAGCATAATGAATATCGCTGATAGCTTTCCCTCCATCGGTTTCAATGGTGTCAAGTGGTCAAGGGCCGTACCGCATCAACTTGTCTGTAGTCTGAGCTGCATCGCTGGGAACAAGGGAGTCGTTGACGTTGTGGTAGAAGTCGAAGTGGAGTGCATCGGAGTGCTTTGCTGAGGATTCCATACTTCGAGGTGCCACCGCCGAGAGTTGACCTGCTTAGTGACGATCTCATGTTTGATGTTCCGAGTAGCCGTGAGGTATGCCCTTCTATTGTTTGCATTAAGTGCAGCCTAATGACGTTTCTCAAAGTGTGGTGTTGCAGGACCAGGCCGCATGGTGATTTTCTCCGGGATGCGCCGCCAGGTCTCCGCACTGCAGTTCCTCCGTGTGCACAAAGTTTTCCGAGAGATGGTCGAGAACATCATTTTGCAGCCTGCGCCTAAGACACGAGGAGCCACGAAGGAGCCTCCTCGCTTAGGCCTTGGGCTTTGGATTTTTGCTGCTCCCCGAGGCCCCAGCTCTGGAGCAGCGACTCTCTGAAGGACCTCTCGGCTTCGGTTGTAGAGCCAACAAGGGGAAGTCGAAACTGCCTGCCCGCTGAAGGAGTTCTACCAGAAACACAAGCAGCAGACGATACTGCAGGACCAAAGCATAGATTCGCCACGCATTGCCAAGCATGCCCTGTACTTTGCACGCACTGTCTAAGCTGTGAGGACCAATGTGTCCTGAGCTAAATGAAAGGAGAAGAGCCGACGCCCAGTTTAGCGTGTAGCAGTAGCACTCCCGGCTCTTTGCGGGGGGAGCTGAAGGGCCGGGCTGACCGTCAAAGTGCGGTTCGCGGTCCCGGGTCCGTGCCTCTCAGAAAAAAGCCTTCAGTGCATCCACCTTGTGGACTCTTCGTGCAGGTAGTGCTCGACTCTTGTTTCTGAGAGCTCCCACAATCTCAGATTAACATTAACTTCCAAAAAAGGTTCCGTAAGAGGTCACGTCCTTGAGGGCTTCGTTACAGATCGAAGCTAAACAGAGCAGTTCTTTCCCCATTAATAGCAGAGTGCTCTGTCGCACCAATGTGCAGCGGTTCGTGGGGAAGGGAGACTACTCCTCTAGCAAAGCCATGCAAGGCAAAACCTGTGGGCCATGTTGCAAGAATGACAAATGACCAGCTGCTAACCTTTCCATCATAAGAGCCATCTGTGTAGATGTCGAACCCAAGTGGGCTGTCACTTTCATGATGAGGCTTGACGTGACTGCGGAGTGCTAGGGCTGTGCTGGGGTGCAAACGGACACTCTCTGGCAGGTGGCACGGGAGGCGCCATACAGTTGAAAGGATGGATGCAACCTCACTAGGTACCGACACGGTATGTGCGTAGTCTACCGCCTGGCCGCCATGTCGGTGCTCAGCCTCTGGATGACATAAGATGGATGCTCGTGCGCATTACTTGTCGTTGACGAACGCATCACATGAAATCACATCCGCTCTTGAACTCAGGAGCTTGAGCTTTTCAGCATCACAGTCCTTGGTGGCTGCAGATGTGGCAAGACCACCCTGATCAATGCCTTCGTGAACAATTACTGCCCCACCGTGCTGGAGGCGGGTTCCTTGTTGTGGTCGATCCCGTTGCCCAGCAGCAGCCTCAGGAGACAGAGAGCGCGCAGCTCTACTACAAGACGCTCAGCGTGACCTCCAAAGGCTAGAGGCTTTGGGCCCTTCTTTGCCCGTGTCGCGCGCGCAAAGTCACCAGGGGATGCCGCCGCGCCACCGCAGCCTGCTCTTGTCGAGCCTGAGGCTTGGTGTGGAGACCGAAGCTCGTAGACATCAGGAACCTGTCCCGAGCCGACTTAAGGATCGAGGATACCTATGCGGCCTCCAAGACTGACGGCATGGATGCGTACGAACAGCCTCGGAAGATAGCTGCTCGGCTTTCGGAGTCTCGGTGTGCTTTGCTGCTTTGCGCGGCAGGAAGGCGCTCAGCCGAGGAAGACTTTCTCCGAATGGATCGAGGGGTGTACGCAGATGGGGAGGCCGTGGAGCTGCTGCAGGGCTTCGAAACACCGGAGGCCGGAGACAGAGTTGGTTAAAAATCGGTACTACTCGTATGTGAGAGTTCTTTCTTCGAGTGCTCGAATGTGCTCGATTTGTCCTTGTAAGCCACGCGCAGCAGAAGGGTGGTTCATCAGGTTGGGGAGTACCGCCCTCTGTCATCTCAGCGCATGGCATTCATGCGCCCTGACTGGAGCTAGATGTGGGAGTTAAGGAAGGCGCTTCGGAATGTTAAGTTCGGGTCATCACGCTTGTCTTGACCAGGGGCTCCTCTTCGAACTCTTTGCATAAGGCTCGTCTTCGACTGCACGTCCCGGACTTCGCTCAAGGAGGCAACGGCTGCTGTTGCAAACTGTTCCGGGATGGCAGAGTCGCTGCCGGGCAGGCACAAGACCTTCACAATGCCTTGAGACTGGACATCGACGCCGCCACGAGCAGCTTTGCAGCACCGCATATCCCACGAGGTGAAGAAGGATCGCTTTCGCCATCTGAGGACCTGTGGTGTGTTTGGTTGCAAGCCGTCTGGATGCGGATGTCACAGGCGCCAGATGCACAAAGCTTGCCTGTGCTCTTTCTTTGCCGCTGTTTCCTTGCCAGATGGAGAGCATCGTCGTGCGGCGCAAAGGCAGCACTGACAGTCGTGTAGACCGAGGTTTCCCGATAGAAGCAGCCTCGCAGCACTGAAGCTCGCAGATACGCCAAAGACAGCAATATCTCCTACTTCGAGCTTTCCGCCTATGACCTGAAGAAGGTTAAGCCGCCAACATCCCTGGCACACAGTTTCGTGTATCTCGCTTGTCGTAGGTAAAACAGCTTTTTCGAAGCGTCCTCAGCGAGATCTACTCCAGAGAAGATCTGTGGAGGCTGGTCAACCTGTATGAGACATGAAGAGCATCTGGAGCCGTCCATGGGAAGTTTCCTGTGCCATGCAGTTTTCAGGCACATGCAAAAGCGACGAAAGGCCTTCAGTCGTGTGGAGGACCGAACGGACCGATAGCCAAAGTCAGCCGAGATACCGGGCCAAGACTCAGGACATCGACAAGAATGAGTTCGACAATGAGAACAGCCGAGAGGCGAGGCAGAGATGTCCGTATGCTGAAGGCGAGGAAATTGAGTGCAGGCACAGAAGCAGGCCGAGGAGGAGGAGTACACTCGGCTGGAACGCGAGGCTGCCGAGGTCACGGAAAGGGAGCGTAATCCCTTCCAGCGCCGAGCACGTCCCCAGCGTTGTAATGCAAGGCAGCCCGGGAGAACAAGGTGCGACTGTCCCGAGCGTGAAGCCAAGAGGGCAACATTGCATTCTGCACGGCTTGCGAATGCGGCGCAGCTGAGGCAGCTGAAGCCGCTGAGGCACAGCCATATAGAGCATGGTCCTGGAACAAGCTTTGTGAGACTTCTATGAGCTTGGGCGGTCGCGGTTATGTTCAGCGCAATTCAGTGTCGTCCCAGCGCCCCAACTCACAGAGGCCGAAGAGCGACGCCGTCAAGCCAGTGAGGCTGGGCTTGTTCTTGGCTCTTGGACCTCAGATTGGCAGTTTCTTGGCATCGTGGTTTGTGGCATCGCGACAGTGCCTCGCAACAGTCGTAGGAAGAGCGGCGTCGGAGCACACAGGAGGCACCCGAGCTGCCGCTGTGGTGCTTGGTTACATGATGCAACTCCGCAGACCTGCACCTACACGAGCTGTGAGGAAAGGCTGCCGAGTCTTATGCAGCAAGAACGTTTATTTGTGTTGCTACATCCCACGGCGGTGACTGTGACAGAAACAAACATCATCTTGTCTTGCCACGGCTTGCTTCGGCTTTAACTGGCCACCGAGGTTCTGCGGCTTGGATGGTTTGGTTCCTGTCTTTGATTTCTTGATTTTCCATTTTTCGTATCGAAGTCCGTTGCCCCCGAAGCTGGTTGTGATGGGGAGTAGTATAGGCAGACAGTGGCTGCTGTGCACAAACACGCAGCTGAGTCGGGCTACCCTGGCTCCGAAGATTTCGAATTCGGGAGGACGGGACATCCGTGGCCCGTTCGGCCGTTCTTTCTGCTCTGCCACCACAATCGCCTCCGTCCTGACTTCCGCTTCGTAGGTTAGACCGGCTTGGCAGGAATCAACAGTCAGGTTTGTTGGGCACAACTTTGCTGTCGGGGTAACTCCCGTAAGGCAGCTGATCGGGGTACGGTGGGGTACTGCTCTACCTTTCTGCTGCAGGTTCCTAGTCCTACTTCCGCCGACTCTCTCCTATTTCCTCTTCTGATACTCGCAGATCTTTCGCAGTGCACGTCACATACTCTTTCCGTGCATCCTGCATGCTTGAGTTTGTGTTTGTGTCTTGCATGACATCATTCTGTGTGCGTAATGTCGTTGGCTTCAAGCCTTCGAACCAATGCAGATACTGCAAGGTTTGGCAAGACTGCTCGTTGAAGCCCAGATTTTTTTCAACAATTCTTCCCCAGCGCAGTCCATTCCTGCGCGAGTCAGGCGTCAAAAGCAGCGCTGCACCAGCCAGCGGAGCAGGAGGAGGAGAAGTGTCTCAATTTGGGGCAGCAAGCGCCGTCCGCTTGTGGTCGGGAGCTCACGCTGGAGCTCAGACTTGTCTCTTTCTTCGCGTGCTTCGCGTGCTGCGGGAGGACCTGGTGCCCTCCGAGCCACAGGTCAAGGCGATCGCCGCAGTGCGCTCAGAGCCGCAGCCGCTCGTGGCGGCTCGTGTTCGCTTCGCGCGCTTCTTTCGCGCCAGAAGCAAGTTCGTCTCGGAGGCCGTCTCGTCTGCACCGCCGACCTCCTCCGGGCCAAGGCTTCGCTGGGAAAGAAAGGCCAGGACGAAGCTCAAAGAACTCCCGCGCGAATTGAGCGCTGCTTCTCGACGAGGACTTCGCGCCTCCTTTGCCGCCACCCTCATCGCCTCCTCCAGGACCGCACCGCCTTGAAGCTATCGAGCTCGACAGAGGAATCTCTCTTTTTGTCGGCAGGAGCGAACAGCCAGACCTTAAGCGAAGATCGCTTTGGTCTTGCCAGTTGGCTCGTCTTGTTTGCATCGGGCAAGCCAGAAGACATGTTTGCTGACAGAAGTCTGCCAGGATGGTTGCCACCATCCTTCTTTTCGTAGACCCTCAGCGAGGCAGCAGGCTTGCAGGAGAATGCAGACAGAGCTGCCGCGAGAAGTGAGCTGCATGACTGTGATTGACGTTTTCTGGGATGTACCGCATGAGTCTTCTGCACAACCGACGAAAGTCGTACTATCAGGCAGCACGTCCAGCGGCGAAGTGAGCTGTGGATTGTGATGCCCGAAAAGACGCAGGGTTCTCTCCAGAACATCAGCCCGTAATGACAGAACTCTCTTCGGTTGTAGCAATGACAAGCGTCCCCCAACTTCCATGATTCGGGGCTTCACTTCTCTGCTCAGCTTGTGAGCTTGTGATCGAAGGTCGATTGCTTGCAGGCAACACTTGCTCAACGGGGTTAGCCACACTTTGGGCACGGCCAAGTCCTGAAGCCTGAAAGTGCCCCACATGGTGACTCCCTCGCTGGGGTGGCGGAGTTTAAGACTACTCGGGATGTAGATGAGGAAATCACAATGGCAGTAGGCTGTGAGTGTGCCAAGGTATTGCACGGCCACGAGCATGCGCGGGAATGGTGGTTTTGGGCATCTCAAGCTCGTGATCGAGCCAACATGTGACTCCCGCACGGTGCGGCCGGCCGGGTGCGGGTAACGGGTGGGAATCACCATTTCGTGGAAAAAGCCAAGATGGTGACTCCTTCTTGTTGGCAGGTGAAAATGCCAAAGGGTGACTCCCGGATGCAGCGGAACACGGGGAAATCAAAATCTTAACACATGCAGGCAGTGAAAGTGCCATCAACCAGTGACTCAGCACAAAGGCCCGGAGCTAGGTGCATGGAGACGTGGGTACTTTGTTTACAGTTAGGACGTGGAAGTGTCACTCTGAGGTTTCCCTGCCATTCTCTGACTTGTACACGCGGCAGTCATAAGCTAAATTCGTCTTGTTCGCTGCACCTCTCTCAAAGCTACGATGTGAGGCAGCTTGCTGGCATATTGGAGCATGTGCCAGTCACCAGCAAATCAACCAGAGCATCGGTCCCAGCTGACCTGACCAAGCGAAGCCACATTCACAGATGTCTATTTCCGCGGTCCAGCAGGAGAGCATGTTATCTACCAGCCGACTTTGCGACTTAACAGGTCCGTACGCACGAAAACATCTACCCAGCATGGCTGCACTGGGATTTGTCAGTGCCGCACCGCCGGCCTCTCCAACGACACCTTTGAAGGCGATCTCTGACTGCTGTCAATGAGAGCGACCAGCCAGCGGGAACTGCAGTGGCAGAAAGCTTGTATTGGATGTTGCTGTGTAGCAGTGATCTGCAGACCTGTAGCGAACAGGCGTGATCTGCAGACCTGTAGCGAACAGGCACCCCGATCCGCATCTGCGTCAACGGCATCCGGACTGGGAGTCGGGGGCCAATGAGGTCTCGCATCGTAAGCTTCTTCGACCAAGCCCTAAATCCAAACACCGCCATCGCCTGAGGGCACACACGTCTTGGCAGTCTCAGCAACTGGTGGCATTCTCTTGGCAGTTCGGCGGACAAGGCTGTGAGACTCTGCTTGAGATCAGCATGATATAGGATACAGCAATGCTCCCCGCAGTGAGATCGATCACTTCAGGCAGAGGAGCAGCGCAAAAAGTCGCGCCTCGGCGAGCCGTGTGGCCTGCAAGGGCCAGCTGCTGGACAAAGTCGAGAAGAAAGAGCAAGCGCCGAAAGCTCCGAAGGTCGATCAAAAGCTGTCCGATCCGTATCTTTTACAGCAGCTGTGTGTTGCAACACAGCAGGAGCTAAAAGAGCAGCCGGCACAAGCGGTCGCATCATCTTCGCGTGTGCCTGAGATCCCTGCAGACAGCTTGGAGGTCGGGTCATGTGGCAGCGGTACTTGACGTCCTTGTGTTGGTAAGACACGTGCCTGTCTGCATTTTGTCTGATATGTCGTCCGTGGACCTACGACTGGCTCAGAAAAGGAGCTATCTAGCGGTTATAACCTGCTAAGCACAGACAGCACCGAGTTCATCAACTTCGACGCAGAGTCCTGTTAGTTTGCAGCCTTAGAGCAGACTTCACGTCGTGGCATCGTTTCAGCCCTCTTTGTGCCCTTCAAGATGCTGGGGAGCGCAGTCCTCTTGGCTTGTGGGGTACTTGGACGCTTGGGAACCGCAAAGGAGGCACGGTGTGGTTTTGGCTTTGGATGCCAGGATCCATCTTTGGCACAGAGGGAGAGAGGGAGGGAGCGGCAGGCGCCCTTCTTCGAGCTGGCACAGGAGAAGGAGGAGCCAGTGAGGCGATGCAGCCATTCCTGGTGTGAGACTAGGCAGAAACAGAGATCGCAGAGCGCAGAACCCGGCTATGCCCTGCTGATTCGGATGCCTTTGTAAGGATCCGGGTCCGGTTGAAAGCCGCCTGGATGACTTGGTGGCACAGCTTACCGTCGAGGAGAAGCGCCTCGGACTTGAAACGCATTCAAGCATCACCCGCCCTCCATCTTTCACAGAACAGAAAGCCGACGCCAAGGATTCTACAACTCAGCAACGACCTCTTCGGTGGCGTTCCATCAGTCGATCTTTGACTTTCCAGCGTAGATGTGCCATGGGCCATGGGTTCGCTTAATTTCACTTTGGCACGTGGCTCTGGGGCTTCCCTGGCTCTAGGAAGTTTGGGGATCTGTTGTCTGGTTAACACGGCTCTGAGGATGTTTGTCTACGCGAGTCGGGGTGCTTACCTGCAATGCTGCGAAGAGTAAGGAGCGGCTGGGCCTGGGTGGCTACAACTACATCAAGGAAGCAGCCCACGGTCTTCTGCTGCGAGGCGCCAGCCGCTTCGTCAAACGTCGGTGCTGTGTTGCCTACTGTCAGGCAGCACTCCAGAGCCGACATCCTTCCCTCAAGTTGTGACGATGGCAGCCTCCTTCAACAGGAGACAGGGACAAAAACCACGGCAAGGGCACATGGCGAAGCTTGTCAGGAGCCTCTTCAAGTCCGTCGGCCAAGCAGTTGGAAGAGAAGCTCGTTTCCTTCGAGAGAATGGCCTGCGCTATGGCGACTGGAAAGGCCACAGTCGGCCTTCAAGTTGACATGAGCAGCAACGGGGGTGGTCGTAAGCAGGGGAAGCCCCTTGTCACAGGCAAGACAGCCCATAGCCGTCTTGTGCCAGGACGGCTGACAGGACTTCTGCTGCAGTTCAACATCAACATTTTCCGCGATCCTCGCTGGGGGCGTGGTCAGGCGCGCAGTTGTTGCCTGCATGAACAGGTTGACGGGCGCTTGTTGGACAGAGCAACCGGTCAATTGCAGGAGACTCCGGGTGAAGACCCGTATCTGTCCGGTCAGTCGGCAACCCAGCAGCCATGAAAGCCCGTCACGAAGTTGGCACCTTCACAAAGTTCATCTCTCCCTGTGAGTTTTGCGTGCAGCCATGAAGAAATCGTTGTCCTGCGATCCGAGCTCTGTTCACGCACATCCTGCTTTCGGCAGCCGCCCGCCCACACCGGGAGTGAGTCCGTCTTCACAGCTGGATTGACGACGTGCATATACATTACGTAGCAAGCCACCGTCTAACCCAAAACAGACTCATCCCAGTAGCCCGGTGGAGTCGTCATGGGTGCGTTTCGAGGCGAGGGCGGGAGCGGCTTAGTGTCGAAGCAACGCATGGAGACCTCAGCTTTCGGTGGCCCCTGCAGCTCTCGTAGTCTTGGCTGTATTCCGAGGTTCGCAGCCAGCTACGCAACTTTGACGAACTGGGCACCTGCTTTCAGGGAGTGTCAAGGTTCTTCAGGTTCATCGTCTGTGCCCATAAAGCAGGCTCTGGAAGTCGTGTTCACGATTGCATGGCTGGGGCATCAAAGGTATCTGGCATTCAGAGCCTGGTCGGAGATGGGATTCCACAAGCTGCGGCATCATGCGGCTGGGCCAGTGAGTTATGACTTACTCCATGGCAGCTCGTTGTAAAGCCTAAACTATCGAGATGTACACGGCCATATCATGTTTTTGTCAGTAGTTGGTTCTTTGGTGGTCTGCCCGAGGCAAGCACTTCGCGGCCTACTCGTTTGAAGGCGGTCCTACGCAACTGAACAAGACAGAGCACATGCGCCACTTCATCCCGGGTGCTTCCAATGTTAGCCGGCACAACGAGACCCGAGTCTGCACCAGAAGCTCTCAGAAGGTTGTAGGCCCTGTAGGCCAAAGATAGGGTGTTTCCTTGGTTGAACTTCATAGCTTCAAATTTGCCTTAAACTTAATAGTTGTGTTCAGGAACGCCGTGGTCTCGCCGCAAGACCTGACCGAGTCCTACTTTCCAGCCTTCGAGGTGCGTAGATTCGTAGAGCACCGCGAGCGGGCACATTCCTCTCTATGGAAGTCCGAAGCGCTCTGTGATGCGGAGGCCTGTGCTCGTGCTGGAGCTCTGGGCTCGATGTGCGCTTACAACCAGGTGCCTGGGAAGAGTGGCTTCTGTCTGCTTCTGTGCATCGGGTTTCACCATCTTTCGTTTTTCGGTACTCGAAGGTCAACGGCGTTCCCTCCTGCGCCAGCAGCGAGCTGCTTCGAAGCAAGCTTCGAGAAGAATGGGGATTTCGCACCTGGGCGCATTGGCTGCTGAATGCAACCGCTTGCTACACACCCTGTCGAACCCTGTTTGCTTCAGTGTTCCGTGATGCCGAGGTGGCATGATTGTCACAGATTGCGACTCCATTGCAGTGGCTTGGTGTCGGTGATCAGCCGTTGTCAATTAGCTAGGCCAGGCAATTTCTCGACCCTCACCTCTTCCACAGCACAATCGGAGGACATGTATTCTCTACAACGGTACCGCGACACACCGGCCGAGAACATCGAAGTCGCGCTAGCGGCTGGGACCGACGTGGCGTGCAGCCCAGGCATTTGAAGCTGCCTGGTGACTTCAGTGGTGTCTTTCCGTTTGTGTGCTAGTTGTGTGCAGGCTTCTTCCGAGAGTACGCCAACGCATCCATGGAGCCGCTTCTGACGGAGGCAGTCAAGAACGCACTCCGCGTTCGTTTCATCCTCGGCGAGTGACCTGGCCAGAAGGACAAGCTGATTGGATCTTTGCTGCCTGGGTCTTTGCCTCTGCACCAAGCTAGGTTTGACCCACCGCCTGCTGACATTCCCGGCAGCTGGGAGAAGGCATCTGTACCTGTGCCTTGATGCGACGGCCAAGCTGCACGAGAGAGTTCGCATTGTCAGAGATTGCGGGCTCGCAGGCCTCGGCCGGACATGTGGAGCTAGCGTGGCTTGGATCAAAATGGCCCTGCCATGTGCTCGGATTTCATCACCAGCCACCAGCCTGTCCGAGGATGGAGGCTGCCCTCCAAGGGGCCGTGCTGCTGAAGAACGAGGGCCACATGTTCCCTGGCTGAGTAGCAAGAATTGGGGGCACCGTTGGCAACGGTCCCTTGTCAAGGCTGCCGCTCGCCGCAGAGCAGCGGGTTGCTGTTCTCGGCCCTCTGCGAAATGCCACGCGGAGCATTCTCGGCAATTACGAGGCACGCAGCCACTAGGGGCACCAAAAAGGGTCAGCTTTGCTCTGCGAGGCTTGGCCGGTGCCCGTCGTGACTCCCCTGGCCGGCCTCAAGATGCTTGACTGAGCTTGGCCATGCCGGGGATGCTGGGCCTTGGCCAGCGCAGCCTCTGCTGTCTCTGAGGAAGTTTGGTCACCACGTCGAAGCTCCCGGCCCCGAGGCTGGCAGCTTGGCCTCTGCCTCTGCCTCCTGCAGTTTTCGTGCCCATGGCTCCTGCTTCAACACGAGTCAATAGCAGGCAGAGCAAGCCGAATCCTAGCCAGAGACAGCTACAGCAATCCACTGATTCGGCTCGAAAGGAGGGCCTTGCCCGAACCGCTACTCCAACCCCTAAGACGACAACCCAATTGGCATTCGGGCTATCATCTGAATCCTTGTAGCAGAAGAACTGCGGACAAATTCCACCCTATGTTCATGAGGATGTTGCTTTCGATGATGTGACGAAGGTTATGATGTATGATGAAACCCCACCACCACCACCACCACCACCACCACCACCACCACCACCACCACCACCACCACCGCCACCACCACCCCCGCCACCACCACCACCACCACCACCATCATCATAACCACCACCACCACCACCATCATCATAACCACCACCACCACCACCACCACCACCACCACCACCACCACCATCATCATAACCACCACCATCATCATAACCACCACCACCACCACCACCACCACCACCACCACCATCATCATAACCACCACCATCATCTCCACCATCATCATCACCATCACCATAACCATGGCCGTGACCATGACAGTCATTATCATCATGATGCCTGCCGTGATCTCTGCTGATGCAATTGGTTCTCAAGAAGTCCATTCCCAACGTCTTTACACGCAGTACTAGCTGCAAGCTCTATTGTCTTGCATGTACTGGCCGAGAACCTGGGAACTCAACCTTCATGGCGATAGGCGCAGCGAAGCATGACTTCACCCTGTAGTTTCTGCTGATGCGTTCTGTCCAGCCATCGGGCAGGGACTCCAGCTACAAGAAGGGGCACATTGCAATCCCTAACCAGTAGACTGCTAGTCTAAAACATGTCACAATCGGCTCTGCATTTGGCACTGAAGCTGCATCGAACACGGTGCTGCGAGCGACTACTGTGGAGGTTGGAGGGTCACTAATCGCTGGATGCTGCCACAGGTTGAAATTTGTGGCGCGGCGGGAAGCTCGATGCCACTTGGATGCCCGTTGAATGAGCCGTCTTGCCTGGCCCGCCAGATCAGCTGAGCTGAGGCCAGAGAAGCCTGATGCAGAGGCCCACCCTCACGGCATCGAGACTTGTGGACGTCTGTGCTCTGATAGTTTTGTGGGGAAGACTTATGGGCAACATGCCCCATTCAGGTGGTGGTCGTGGTGGCTGGGCTGACTGCAGACGACTTGGAGGTGAGGCTGTAAGACCTGATTGCCTGAAGGCCGTAAAGGTTCACCGGGTTTGCTGGAGGTCCAGGATCCGGACATCCGGCCGGTGGCATCCGAGTTCTGCAAAGCAGGCAGGGGGGCCATTACGGTTCCGCGGCTTCGGCCTTTGGCGGCGAGGTGCAGGGGAGTTTGGGCCCTGCTCCAGGTTGCCTCGAGACGGAGGGCTGCGACCGACCCAACATCTCATGGCCCCGCTCGCAAGCGGAGCTCATTGCCACCGCAGCGCCTGGGGTCGGAATCAGGAATTTTTTGATGTGGTTCCAACGGCAAGTGCTCAGATGAGTAGAGCAAACGGCGCGGCACCAGAACCCCAATTGAAAACACGAGACAGTCGGTCTTCGTATCATGGTGGTCTCGCAGGACTTTGGCTGCAGGTTTTTGATGCTGTGCAGGCAGGGTGGGCTGGTTTCCCTGCAGGCGCTTCGTGCGGCCCTTTCTGACAATGTGTCTGCTACGGTGAGAAATCAGGCTCGAGCCAGAGAATTGGCCTTTGCCAACACGGCTGAGCTCGAAACCGATCAAAGTACTGTACAAAACACCAGAGTTTTACTGCGAAAGCACGTGGGAAGAGCAGGGGAAAATGCACCGAATGATCAACCCTCAGTTGGGTCCCTTTGCGGGTTTGAGGCTTCCGGATTTTGGGATCCACGACCGAGTCTTTCCACGGCATTGTGATAAACCGGTCGCCTTGTTGACGCTTGCTTCGACTCACCGTCTAGGACCGAGCTCCATTCACCGAGCACTGCCGTCGCAAACATTATGAAATGGGCGCCGATACAGTGATCTGCGAGTCACGAGTCTCGCATGCTGTAGGAAACCACGGCTGAGCATTGCTTTCATCAGCAAGGAATGCTGGAGGTTTTGCACAACCTTTTGTTTCCGGACCTTTCTGTGCGAAAAGCCTGGCATGTGTTTGCATTCGGTACTCCACCAGCCACTGCATCAATTGCACAGCACTGTACTGAATTTGCGCAGTCTGGAGAGCAAGTTTCGAACGCTTAAGGCAACCTGGGGTATCCCAGTCGTTCTGGTGGTGATCAGTGGTGGCCCGGTGGACTTGGCTGAGTATGCCCAGATGGACGGCATCCACTCCATTTTATGGCTGGGCTGCTAGTGTCGACTTTTCAAGTTTTTCTTTTCGTCTGGAGAGCGTGTTCATGAATGTTCATTCGTTAATGCAGCACGGATGTATGTGTCCCGAGCCGCTGACTATCCGAGGCTACTCGGGGGAAGCTGCCGGCGAAGCTCTGGGGAGGCCCACGTCAACCGTGCTTCGTCAAATTGACTTCAAATCTCAGTGTCGTTCATGCAGGCTTGTCTACGGACTGGCGTCTCCAAGCGGACGCCTTTCGCAGACTTTCTATCGAGCCTTTGCTGGAATTGCATCTAGGGGATTGCACGGACAATTTGCCTGCAACGTGAACGTCTTCATAATATAGTTCTGAGCACATACTGTACAGTCTTCGTGTTTCACTTGTTGAGCTCCGCCGAGGCAAGGAGTACACAGCCCACGTGGCCATGCAAGACTACAGCTTTCGTCCTCGCACAGAGGATGGCTATCCAGGAAGAGGCTATCGCTTCGTATCAGACAGATGGATAGTATATCCTTTCGGTCATGGCCTGTCATTTGACAGCTTCAGTTTCGACTGGTTGGCCGACCATACTTTTGAGGGCAGGTGCCAAGTTGGCGTTCGTGTTCAGCCCTTGTACAGCGAGGCTTTAAGGACGCGTTCGACCTCAACTTCCGTGCTGCTCTTTTTGGTACCCCCTCCGGGCAAGTCTGGGCTCCGGAAGAAGCTTGTGGACTTCCAGAAAGTGGAGTTTCCCCCAGCGAGGTCCCAGGAGAACAGGTGGAGAGACCTCTACTTCGAGCTGAGCCCGAGTGACATCGAGCTCGTGGATGAAGCAGGCGCTGCTTCCGTGGCAGGGGGAGCCTGGACGCTGCAGGTAAACGAGCCTCCAGAGCTGAGGCGCGAGATTCTGCTTCCAGGCTGTTTCGCTCCTTCCGAATCTCCCTCCTCCAAATTCCTGGCAAAGAGGGTTTTCCTGCCCTAGTGCTGTCAAGACGTCAGACGGGCTGATAGCTAATTACTAGCAAGGCCAAGGGGTGCCGTCTGTGGCATTCTCTTCACACGCCGTGCCAGATGAGCACGGCCAAGTCTTTCGACGGTTTATGATAGGTTCAAATTTTGATCTGTGTGGCTCTACGCCACCAGTCTTCGAATTGCCCGGCAAACCCCGTTATTTGTATCCGGGCGAGAGGGGGAAGCTAGCACTCCCAAGGAGGGGCTTCGTCACGCGAGCTCGCATGGGGTGGCATGCCATGTAAGGTTTTGTGACCCTTTGCTTCGCGATGGCCTTGGGCTTCCCCCGATGCACGTCCTGCGGTGCGCAGTTGGGCCTGTTCTTGGTCCCGCACATGGGACTTCAAGGAGCACTCGCATGGAGTAAAGCTCCTAGAAGCTCCCTGCATGAGTTGTTGTTTTCTGAAAGAGGCAAGGACCTTCAGCCAGTGTTTTCGTGTGCTTTTGAAGAGCTTCAAAAGTTCTGGCGGGCCCCAGCCCGGCCAGCTTCCGGAACACAGCCTCAGGGAGATGGCTCTGATGGCTCCGAGTCTGAGGTACCCAGCCAAAGTTCCACCTGTGGAGGCGAGGGAGGCGGACATCGATGGTGCGAGCCTCAAGCTGCGACTGTGCAGTTATTTCGGTAATGTAGGAACCTGGCTAAGAAACCTTGGTTTTTTGATAGGGTTCCTTATATGAATCCTACTATTCTGGGGTTATAGGCGCCGGGGTTTCTTAATCAGGTTCCTACATTATGCCACAAGTCTCATTCACCGAGGCTGGACCTTCTTTGCTAGGTTCTCTGGCGCCTTGTGGGAGACTTTCATTGACGTCTCGGGCTCACTGCGACGCTCCACACGGAGGTTCTCATAATTTCGTGGAAGCGACTCGTTCTGTGTTCTTCCTCCAAGGTCGCGACTTCGCGTGGTCCTCGCGAACAGAAAGGGCTGCGAGCCAAGTATTGCTGGTGTTGTGTGGCGATGGAGGCTCAAGACTCATGCTTCCAAGGTGGGAATACCGCAAAGGAATCGAAGGCCCTGGAACGGTATGTCAGCAACTACCAGAAGTTTTTGGGTTTGTGACGGATGCACAGCCCCTTGGGAGTGAGAGCGCAGCAACCGGAAGTGCGGAGTAGCAGAGATACAGCAAAGCCCCAAGAGCGTCAAGGCATGTCGATGGGAAGCATGGCTTTTGAAATGATGACGACGCAGGGGGCCAAGTGTGCAATCCATGCGCAGAGGTTGAGAAAGATTCTAACAGAGGTCTCCATTGCATATGTGAGGTCTGAAGACACGGAGGAGTTCAAGGAGTTGTCCAAGGAGTACCAGTCTGGCTATGGAGTCAAGAGCCTAGCAGAGCAAGACAAACAGCAAGAACTGTCGTCTGTGCATATGCTTCTCCACAAGGTGCCTTTCCTCAATCTCTCCTTCCGCAAGATTACTGCAGCCACGAGAGACGTTTGCCCCCCCCAGGGTCATGGTGTTTTTACCGCGTGATCCTAATCCTTTCAGGGCGGGGTGCAATCCCTTGGCAAGTAAAGAAGAGTCTTCATGCACGGTGGCTGCAAAGCTTCAAGTGCGCGTACATGCGCATGCTGTGCTTCCGGCTCAGTTCGCATGGCCCGTTGCAAGCTTGGGGTGTCTGGGGTCCTTTGCGAGCTCGCATCTGTTGCCTTCGCAACCGGCGGCACGCCCAGACGGAGGGGTATGACACTATATTGAAGCGGCCTTAAGCCGCCAGCTCAAGGTGCGAAAGCTTCAAGGCCGGATGGACGTCTCTGCCCAGGTCAGTGCTGCTGGAAATGTTCGCTTCTAAGGGACATGTGACTAAACCAGACCACCGAAACCAAGAAACCTGTCTGCGAGGAGTTCCATCCGGAGTTGCGGTCTGAGAAGCTCAAGTGCACAAGCATCGCTGCGCTAACATGCATGCCGACGGGGCCGTTGGGGAGTGTCCTGGAACACACTTGACTGGCTATGTTTACGTCAACAGCTTGCAGCTGTCGGGCCACAGGCAGTAAGTGAGTGCCAACCTAGCTCGTGTGCAAATCTCGAAAAGACTCGAACAGCTGTCCGTGCTCGGATAAAAGTGACTGTCTCAAACAAGTTGGACCGCATCAATCATGCTGTACTTCGCTTGCTGTCGCAATGGCTGGAGGTGACGACAGTCTACGTCTCGGTGCTTTGGAGCAGAGGCTAACAGTCTTAAAAGCAGAAGTTGCCAACCAGCAGATACCCAAGCTTGCAGCGGAGGATGAAGGAACCAAAATCCTCGTAGAAGCCGACAACTTGCAGTTGGAAGGAGATGGTCGTGGGCGAAGAAGGCGATTGGTTCAGGAGATCAATTTACTACTGGACCCACCAATGGAAGAAGTTTCGGCAGCTCTCGTGAGCACGACCAGAGCAGAACCCTCTTGCGCTGGCAGAAGTCCGGCGGCTGTGATTGACGATTTGCTGTCTGCGGCGGGGCATCTGCTGTTAGAGATGCAATGGTTGTGCCGACTCACTCAAGAAGCCATCGCCAACCAGGAGGCACCGGGTTTCTCCTGCAGCTATTGCACACACATGCTTGAAGGGGCGCAGTAGCTGCAGAGCTGAAAGCTTGGTGGCAGGATGCATATCTCTTCTCCATCATCCCGCGGCTGCCAGATCTGGAGGAGGTGGGATCGCTTTTCTGTTGATCGAACCCAGGAACCTGTTGGAATGTGCGCAGCTTCCAATCTGGGGCATTTGCATGACGGAAAGCTCACCTTGTTGTTTCTGCCGGTTTCGTTCTGTGCCTGCTGCTGCTTTGGAGCTGGACAGCGTCTTCATTTCGTTTTTTTGTAAGCTTTCAAGCTTTCTTGGACGTGTCCTTTGTCATGCCTATCAGATGAAATCGAGGAAGCCAGCGTTCATGTCTGTGTCGCAGGTGCAACTTGTGCGGAAGCTGCGGTCGTGGGCATCATCGCCGCCTCCTTCACATGTCCGAGAATGCCAGAGGGTGGTGAACACAATTGACGATCTGAGTAAAGAGGTGCAAGCCGCCTTGGACGCGCTGAGCCGGCCAGCGGAGTCGCCGGCTTTCTGCCAGAAAGCATGTGCCGTTTACTCCGACCTGCTCTCGTGCATCGAAATGGCCCGAGTTGACGAGTCTATTCTGCTGTTGCAGCGGCTTCACGCCGAGCGCCAGGAGGTGAAGAAGGACATCGCGTTTGTGAAGGAACGTCTGAAATCTTTTAGAGCACGGTATAGAATCCTCCGTTGCCTTGCACCCTCTCGGGAAGAGGCACAGCAGATGAACGCGAGAGAGCTTAGACTGTGTCTGCACATTCACAAGGTGCCCCAGCACGGTGGACTAATGGACAAGCAGGACATCATAGAAGCGCTCGTGAGTTCCGGGGCCATTCCGGCATAAAGCGTGTCCCTGGCGAATCCAAGTGAGTCTCTGTATGCTGCTTGTCCGGATGTGTACAAAGCGTGGCTGTTTCACTGCTCCGGGTGCCGAAAAGTCTGATGAACAAGTCTGGGTAGGGGAGGGCATCTCATGGGCACCAAGGTCCAGCTGCCACCCGTACATGATGCAGCCCCAGGCGGCTGGACTTTCTGCCATATGAGATTCTTCCGGCTTGGGTTGAGCCTCCGCGGTGTTGAGAGAATTCCGCAGAGAGCAGGTGATTGGCATGTTTGACATGGCGCCGGAGCCCCAACGAAGTTGTGGTCAGTCGCCAGTATTCGATGGAAAACCCGGCATGCCGTGACGGACAGCATCGCGTCAGCTCACCGAGGACCTTGCAGATGCTAGATGCATCCAAATGGGGTACACCTGCATTCTGGCAGCAATCAATCGCTTCTGTAAGCCTCGTGGGCTTTGCGATCCAGCCGAATGCTGCTCAAACTGCACAGGTAATGCTGGCCAGTCCGATGAGTTCCAACCTCAAACAAGCAGAGCACTTCAGGATGCAGCATGCTTTTCCACCGATGGCCCGCAACTCCAAAGTGCTTTGGGAATCTAGACAGCACTTGCCCTTGCCGCAGCTTGTTTAAGCTCAAACTTCATCTTGTAACGCAGATTGCAAAATTGTCACCTGGCCTCTTGGCTGCAGCATTTGTGCATTTTTCATCTGCATGAACCTCGCTCTCTCTCTCTCTCTCTCTCTCTCTCTCTATTCTCTACCTCCCCACCTACCTACCCACCGACCTGCCTACCTACTCACCTACCTACCTACCTACCGACCTACCTACCTACCTGCTGACATGCATCAATACATACATACGTACATAATATAGCTACATGCGTACACACATCGACGCATCACCTTCTCTCTCTCTCATACTCTCTCCTGACCTCTCCAGACTATATGATATCCCTAGTGCATGTATACCTGCGTTTCTTTCCATCATCGTGGGTTCACTTATTCTTCGAGGATTCTTCAGGGAAAATACCGGGAATCAGCACAGGCCCTGCCAGCTGTCAGCATGCATCATCGCAGGTGTTGCAATGTCGCGATTCGTCCTAAACTCTGGAAGGGATGCGGAGCAGAGGAGTCTAACGCATGCATCGAGGGCCACTTACTTCATGGATACAGCACGAAAGCGGTAGCTTCGAGAAAAGCGGCCCTGTAGATGAACGCGAGAGATCAGGCGCTTGCCTAGAGCTACCACAACGCATCCTGCGACGACCCGGGGAAGAAGCTAGAGCAGGGTTTTTTGTAGCGGGTGACTCAGGTGATGTTATCATACAGCCGCGCTCTACTGGCCTTTTTGCTTCTATTGATTGTGCAGCACGGCAGCACTGAGCAGCATTTACCGTGGAGCTGTAGTCTTCCGGAGATTGCCCGTACCCAGGTGCTGTGCACAAGCTGCTACAACCTTGCAGCTGGCAGGCCTGTCTTCGTTGTAGTCTGAGGTTGATGTACGTCCCAACGGCTCCCAGAACAAGAGGATCGTTGTCTTCACTTCGTACTGGTAGCTAGACGGTGGTCATTATGCCCACGGTTTCTGTGTTAGCCTTACGGTTCGCTCTCTCTATGCTGGCACGCTGTTTGTTCGAGGGGAGGGGGAGGGCACAGACGCGGGCGGACAGAACACGTCTGCACAAGCTCAAAAAGGGAGAGGGGTGCGGCGCGATGCGTGCCAAGCGGCTTGTATCCATTGCGAAAGAGCATCCATGCCCGTTCGAAAACAAGTCCTGCCTACCAGTTACCAGTCCGTCCATTGGGACAGAGCAGTCGTGTCCGAACGATGAAAACGTCCAGGCTGCCAATGCGTGCATCGGGACAGTCTGTGCTAGCATTGCATCTGCCAGGACAGAGCATCCGTCCATGTGCTTTACAGACCTGACGTTGAACTAGATGTGAGGTCTATGGACAGGAATGCTTGTTCCAAGAGCTTGTTCAGACGTTTACCTTATTTTATGCGGCTTCGTCCACAAAGGCGGTCCATTGCTGTGCAAGCTACTTGTGACAGTTTTAGTTTTGTTGCATACTCGGTGTGTTTTTTGTCGCATGTACCAAAACCAGTACTAGCGGTCGTGGTGACAGCAGTAGTAGTAGTAGTAGTAGTAGTAGTAGTAGTAGTAGTAGTAGTAGCAGGGGCGGATATCAAGGATGAGACACACGTCACTGCCGATCCCACGTTGGGATGGGCGGAAGACACTGTGGGCACGCCCGACACTCCGATGCTGCCGGCGGGCACACCGCAGTCACACAAGTCTGCTGGCCCTGGCCAGACAAGCGATCGGCCTTTCAACGCATTCTCAACCCAGAATGTGACTCCGACAGCTGCCCCCACCGAGGAGACCGTCCCACAGACCCCAGGCCCGGCTGACACCATAGCCTCATCCCCTGTGGATGCCCCCTCTACGCGTGCAGAGGTCAAATACCAGGGACCGGTCACCACGACCAAGCTGGTGGAGTACAGTGTCAACCCCTCTCCAGAGCAAGAGGCAAATCAACTGCCAAAGAGAGATCAGATTATTCACATCTGCCAGTCTGACCAGATGCTGGAGTGGGTCCATGCCTTTGCGACCATTTCCATTATGAAGGAGCAGGCTATCGTGGGTGGCCTCACAGCCTCTGAGCAGGTCTACCTTTGGACCAATAGGTTTCGAGCACTGGGCAAGGTGCCGTGGATCTTCGCCCCGATCAAGAAGGTCGCCACCGACAAGGATGCCAACTGGCTTGACATCACGCAAGCGCGGCTTATGGTCGGGGCCAATGGCCAATTCACACTATCCATTGGCCAAGATGATCGCTACACCGAGCTCAAGTCCACCACGACCTACTATGGCATAGTGCATGCCCTTTTTCAGAAAATGTGGGATCATCCGGACATGAGCGCATTGCTCGAAACGGATGACAACTTCGAGATCGTGGCCTCCACATTCAAGTGCATCTATGACCAGTCCTCCAGGAAAAGTGGGGGTCAAAATCGAGCCATCTTCTACCAGCCTCGGGAAGGACACGTTGTCCGCAAGCTCCGCATCGAACACAACAAGGGCGACACGCCCACATACCAATGGCATCGCCAACGCGAGCTACGGGAGCAGCGGGAACAGCGAGACAAGCGCTCTGGTGAAGAGACACAGTCTCACACAGATAAGCGCTACAGAGACGGCGATGCCTGGACCCGAGGAGGGTGGTGGAATCGTGGCTCGGACTCAGGGGCCAGTGACAGCCGCTCCTGGCACCAGTGAGCCCCAACTTCGATCACCGGTGCCAATGGCAACCTATACAGCGAAAAAACGGAGGCCATGCCTGCACTTATACTTCGTTTCTTCCGGCATGTACTGACGGCTTTTCTGCTGATCGCCGCCGCTGTCAGAGAAAAACACGCCTTGCCTTCTGCCAGTCGCAGAACTGTGCCTCTGCAATCAGTGCTGCATAATCACTAATCTCGCGCAGGTACATACAACAATCTGAAGCTTGTAGCCTGGCCGCCTACCAACTTGCTTCAGCTGACCACTGCCAGTTAGCCTGACGCCGGTAGGCCGCCAACACCCAAAGGTCTTCGACCAGGGCTGTTCAGCTATAGGGTCTGAGTCAGTTTCACACCATGTGAGTGCACCGCGGCAATCGCCCGCTATGTGCTGAGCCCGCTCGCACAGCGTTCAATTGAAAAATAGTAGTAGCAGGAGTAGCAGGAGTAGCAGGAGTAGCAGGAGTAGCAGGAGTAGTAGTAGTAGTAGTAGCAGTAGTAGGAGTGGTAGTGGTAGTGGTAGTGGTAGTGGTAGTGGTAGTGGTAGTGGTAGTGGTAGCGGTAGCGGTAGCGGTAGCGGTAGTGGTAGTGGTAGTGGTAGTGGTAGTGGTAGTGGTAGTGGTAGTGGTAGTGGTAGTGGTAGTGGTAGTGGTAGTGGTAGTGGTAGTGGTAGTGGTAGTGGTAGTGGTAGTGGTGGTGGAAGTGGTGGTAGTCGTAGTAGTAGTAGTAGTAGTAGTAGTAGTAGTAGTAGTAGTAGTAGTAGTAGTAGTAGTAGTATGACTAGTAGAAGTAGGACTAGGACTAGGAGTAGGACCAGGACTAGGACGAGGACGAGGACGAGGGCGACGACGAGGACGAGGACGAGGACGAGGAGTAGGAGTAGGAGTAGGAGAAGAGATCATCGTTCGGGCATGCATGCTTTTGTCCCACATGCGCAGTCTTGCCACTCAGGGCATGCCAGTGCCAGCAAGACTTGGGCAGTCAGCTTGTTGAACCAAGTTCGCATTTCCGGATGTTTCCTGAAGTCCTCTTGAGTGAGCATTAGTGAACCTGTGGCCGTGATCTGTCGAAGGCCTTGAGCTTGCCCGGCACGTGTGTAGAAAAGATCCTCTGATGGATGCGCATTTGTGATTGAGCTGAGTTTGTGGAATCCAAGATCTTGCTGTCACTCAACAGTGGCAGCGGAGCCTTGTTGCTCCAGCCCGAGGCTGCATGAAGGGCCCTCCGGGATCATTCTTGAGAGAATGGCAAGGGAAGGGTTACGGCCTTGGGACGCCTAGCCTGCCTCCAGGCCCATGTGCTTATGCTACAGGACGCTTGGACCAGGCGGGCGCGAGACCTGGTGTGGGGACCACTCCACTGAGCCCAACAGCTCCGCCGTTTATGTATACCCCGCTGCTTGGAACGGCGCCTCCGGCGCTTAACCCTGGACCTGCAGCTTCGAGTTCTGCGAATGTAGAAGGAGGGCTGCCTACCGGCGGGAATCAAGCAGCGACGGCGGCAAGATCGAGTGTTGCCGGGGATCTAGCTAATGCTTTGGGGACTGCCGGGGTACCTGGCGGTGCCGCATTTGGAGAAAACCCTCAAGGGGTACAGAGTGCCTTTGAGATGCTGGGGCGGAAACCGCCTTCGGCTACTGGAGGTGCTCACGGCATGGAGACGAGTGATGCGATCGTGAAAGCCTTGACTATGGCTGTGTCTGGTGAGAGAAAGATGCTTCCTGGAGTGGAAACGCTTCGACGCTGCGGGCTTGGCTGAAACAGCTTGGCTTCTGGGAACTGGACAATCATGTTCTGAAAGTGAGATGGGGAGTAAAGCTGTTTCAGGCGCTGCCAGAGAACAGTGTTCCGAGGAGAATTGCTGAAGGTTTGCCAATGGAGGTGATCACCTCGGAGCAGGGCTACGGTGCCATCCTGACGGCAATTCTCCAGAAGTTCAAGCCATTTCTCGAGGCAGCAGCACCAGCTGCTGTAGACGTCTTCTTTTATCAAGGAGACCGAGCTCGCAATGAATCGTTTTCCAGTTATATAGCGGCTAAGGAACTGGCGAGACAGGAAGTGGAAAATCTGTCTGGAGAACGAATCCCTGATCGCACTGCTGGCAGGGTTTTGCTGAAACAAGCCAATCTTTCAGAGACCCAACAGGAGAACATGGCCATCAAACACAATGCCCTACTTCGATTTGATGAGGTGGCGAACGCCCTTCGACCCTTGGATCGTCCAGATGCTC